AACATGGTGGCCTGCAGGCAGACATGGTGCTGGAGAAGGAGCTGAGAGTTCTACATCTTCATCCTCAGGCAATAGGAAGCAGCTGCATCAAATACTGAGTGTAGCTTGATTATAGGAGACCTCAAAGCCTGCCCCCACAGTGATACACTTCCTCTAACAAGACCACACCCACTCTGACAAAGCCACACCTCCTAATAGTGCCACTCCCTACGGGGGCCATTTTCTTTCAAACCACCATAGGGACCTAAGCCACCCCTTCCCATGCTGGGCTGACTGGTTTGGTGAGAAGACCTCTGAGATTAGAAAACAAAAAACAATGAGGAGGACATTGCTGTGTTCACTTAAAAAATGTTATAAATGTTCAGTGTGAATTTTAAAAATGTACCTCTTAAAATATATTTGTGATTACATTCTGAATTCTTATTTCTTTCTAAGTTCAGAGGCTTTCCATTTTAATGGTTTACTTACTTATTTTTACACATATGTGTATGTCTTGTGAGTTTATATGCACCACATGCATGCAGTTGCCAGAAGAGGATGTCAGATCTGCAACTGGAGTTACAGATGGCTGTGAGCCACCACGTGGGTTCTGGGAACTGAACCCAGGTCCTCTGCAAGAGCAGTCAGTGCTCTTAACCTCGAAGCCATCTCTCAAGCCCCTGGTAAGGTTCAAAATGTATTGTTTTCTCCTACAACTTCAAGGTTTGAGATTTCACATGCTTGTGTATAGTGGTTAATAACGAGGACAGCCCATCTGAGTACTGATTCTCAGGTTTCATAGTTCTGTGGACTTGATTAAACCTTTCCACCCCTGCTCTCCTATTTGTAAAATGTGGGTAATTATGGCAATATCCAGATAGAGAAAAATTACTTCTATAGTGTCTGGTTCTTATACATATTCAATCAATGGTAATTGTATATTTTACTGTTGATATATAGGACAAATAAGACTTCAACTTTTCCCTCTCAGGTGGCCAAATAGCACTACTAATAAAGACAGCACTACTAATAAAGGAGTCATTCCTTCCGCATTTATTCAGCGACATGAGCACCTATTACGTGTCTGTGTACTCTGACACCGTCTGGTTTTCCCACTGATTTGTCAGAATTTTCCCACTGTGTCCTATTGGTCAAACACTAAGCTTCCAAATCTGACCGAGCTGCAGGCAACCCGCTGCTCCCGTCAGCCGTCACAGTCATTTTCTTGTTTCTTTTCCCCACATGGCTTTTAGACTTGCTTGAAACATTTTAATCAGATAATGTAATGAGAATGCATCTCTGGTCCTACCCACCGATAAAGGCAGGAAGCCTTTCCTTCCATCAGTGACCTCACACGCACTGTCTAAAGCCTCTCCTTTTCAGATCGCACAACAGGTCAGGAGGCAGCCATGACTACCACAGTCCCAGCAGTGCTAGGTAACACGGCACTAAGATGAAGGAAGAAATGATACCAGCATGCTTATGGAGGGAACAACAGTGAGAATCTACTGATGACTTAAGTCAGGATGTTGGCGCTTGTGTAGCTCCCGAGGGAAGTGACCAGCACACCACAATCTGCTGTTTAGTCGGTGGGAACTGTTCGTGGTCTCCTATGTTGCTTTTCATTTCTTCGACTGCTGAGAATTAAACCTAGGGCTTTGCATGTGCCTGGTAGGTGCCCACCACTGAGCCACATCTCCCATGACCGAAGGCGGCAGCCCTTAGCATCTGACACAGGGCAAGAGCAGCTCGAGAAGAACTTGCCTCTCAGTTGATTGCTGCAGATTCTAATCACTAGTGAATTTTTTTCTGGTCTTTGCATTTAATCACAGAAACAGGGACGTTTTTACCACACACCACTGTATTTTAAACTACTGACGGAATTATTTTTCTGTGTTTTAGCTTTAGCAAATAAATTTACTTTGAATAACAGTACAAAACATTTTATTTATTTTATGTTTCAGTTATCAGGGCTATGACTCTATAATTTATAACTACTAATGTGTTTTGATGTCTTAATAATAATTTTATTTGAAAATTATAAATAACAACTGAGTATTCATAAGCACTTAGCTGTTCTTTGTGAGAGTAAGCTTCTCTCGGTGCTGATGGCAGTGATTATTAGTGGTATGACTTAAAAACAAGGGAAGCTTTCCTCAGTTGTACATAAGTCAAAGGAAGCACATTGTACCCACCACACAGCACTGTGTTAAATGCGCAGGAGTGCCACAGAATGTGCTGTAGTGTTCCGACTTTGATTCTTGAGTAGCGTTGCCGCTGTGGATATTAGATGTTGACGGTAACATCATCTAGAAGTACACGAGAACCAGGTCTTCTTCTCCTCCTCCTCCTC